GGAAGGAGATGAGCAGTTAGTGAAGGCAGAATTGCCAAGGTCCCTTCCCTCCTCTCTAGGCCCTTTCTGTCTCCCAACTACCCCACTGTGTAACCTAATCCTTAACTTTTCACCTCCCTTGAGGCTTTACTTGCTGGGTTCAGTCCTGAACCATTAGGTGAAGAGAGCAAAAATTGCAAGGAAGCGATGTTCGTTTCCCAGAATTGGGAGGTAAAGAGACGGAGAAAAGTCAGTTTCCTAGAATCCTCTGCAATACAGCTACCAAGTATTCTTTGAGGAGAAACAAGAATAGTCAGTTACCCACAACTGGGGTGAAATTAGGGAGATTGGGTGATGGAAATGGCTAGTTACCCAGAATCCTCTGGGGAAACCAGAGCTATCAGTTACCCAGAATTCTCCCCAAGAGGCAGAGAGAGGAGGGATTAGGGCAGAGGTCAGATGTGTTCCTGGGATGCTGACGGGGAATGGGTCATTACCAAGATTTCTCCATGGCGGATATTTTGGAGCGCGTGGAATTAAAACGAGTAGGGGGAGAGCAGGCGCCGTCAGCTCCACGGGAAATTCCAGTTTCCCCAATTCTCCCCCGCGCCTCAGATTCAACCTAACCCAACGAAGGGAAAGCTGTCCGACTTCCAGTAGCAGCTTCCAATCAGGAAGGGTTTGGTGCTTGCTTAAGCCAATCAGGAAGAGCCAAGTAATGACGGCTCTGGGGAAGGACGCATGACGCAAGAACTGGGCAAAAACAAGAGTTACGGGGCGCCGATGGAGTCAGACTCAGGAACTGTTTGGTATTGTGAAAAGAAACCACTTCTGTGTTGTCTTTTTTGAACAAAATGACGGCTCCAGACTTGGAAACTGAATTTTTATGCCTCCTGTAACTCTGGTGGGAGTACTGATGTGGCGCTGTAGGGTAAGCACTGGATTGCTAACCTCAAGGTCAGCGGTTCAAACCCACCAGCCACTCCTCAGAAACCCTATACAGGGTCGTGTTGAGTCGAAACCGACTTGAGGGCACTTAACAACAACGTAATTCAGGTATGGCGTTGTATGATAAGCACTGGACTGGTATCTCATAGTCGGCAGTTCAAACCTATCAGCCGTTCTTGGAAACCTTATATAGGGTCTCCATGAGTCCGCACCGACTCCACGGCACACAACAACAACATAACTCTAACTGAAATAAAGGGGCGCCCAGGGGGTCTGGATTGCTGGGTATTCCCAGCATGGTCTGTTTCACTCCCTTTTCCTACAGTGGTCTTGTGAGCCACCCTCCACCTCTAACCCTTTTGTCCCTGAAACTCGCTGGCATTTCCTATCATTTCCAGATATAGAGAGAAAAAAGGAAGCGGGAGCCAGGCCTTGAACACAGCTCAAGTGGCGGCTTCTTTTAGGATTTTTATGAAAGCATACATTTGCGGCCCGCACCATGATTGTACCCTCCCCGAAGACTCCTGAACATTCCCAGGGAACAAGCTCCTCAAGCTGGCAAATGCCCCTCGCACAGAGGAATAAATTTGGCAAATTGACACACTTGTCTTTCCCAAAACCAATACGGATTTCACTCAACAACAGCTATTCTGAGGGATTCTTGGGATCTAGCTGTGAGCTTGAACTGCTTTGGAAGGAATCTAGACTGTGAGCTATCTACTTGGCTCAGCTATTACAACTGTTTCTATAGACAACATAAAGGGAAGCTGGTGGAAAGAATTCTTTCCTCATGGATGATACAGTTTTAAAGTATCTCTCTCTCAAAAAAAAAACTGGTAGATAGATTTTCATAAAAGGATTCTAGATTTTAGATGTCCAGGACTCAGAGGAATCCTAGACTTAGAGTTCCTAGACTGAGAAAAACATGTAGACGACTTCTCAAATTGCAGTGACTTTACAGGGCCCTTGATTTAAAACTTCACAAGATGAATGTTGAGAGATCTAGTGGTTCCTTGCTGTTGTGTGCCATCAAGTCCGTTCCCATTCACATTAATCCTGTATAGGGTTTCCGAGGAGTAGCTGATTGGTTTGAACCTCCAGCCTTGAGGTTAGCAGTCTGGTCTTGTGACTGGTTAGCAGTCTTACAGCACCATACCAGAACCCCAAATGGTTCCTATACTTTGAGAAAATGTCTATGTAGAGGTCTCAATTTGAGAAATATCACACAGATCCATGAATTATCTTGGTGGTTATGTGCTGTGGAGTTGGTTCCGACTCATAGTGACCCTCTATGGGGTTTTCGAGGTCTGTAAATCTTTACGGGAGCAGAAAGCCTCATCTTTCTCCCATGGAACTGCTGGTAGTTTTGAACTGCTGACCTTGAGATTAGAAGCTTGACTCGTAACTCCTATGCTACCAGAGTTATATAGAAGCTGAGATATCTATATCTATGATTGAGCTACTTTAGAAGTCACACCCTTGCCTTTCCTCACAGTACCCAACATAATGCAATGATTAACAATGCAGACTCTGAAGTCATATTGTCCACACTGGCATTCTGGCCACTTAGTAATTGTGTGATCTTGGGCAAACTTTATTTCTACACCTATTTCTTTAGCTGCTGTAATATAGAGATCATAATTGTTGTTGTTAAGTGCTGTCGAGTCGGTTCTGACTCATAGCGGCCCTAGATAAGGTTTCTGAGGAGCGGCTGGTGAGTTTGAACCACCTACCTTGTGTTTATTCTACAGAGCCACACCTGGGCCCATCTTATAGGGTGGTTGTGATAATTAAATGAGTTGTAAATGTAAAGTGCTTAGATTAAGTACTTGGCATCAAGTGAGAGTTGGGTATCTGTTAGCCATCTTTATTAGTCATCTGGGGAAACTTCACCTGGATTTAGAGTCTGGACATCTAACTGGAAAGGCCTGCTTAGGAGTGTCTTGTAAATGTGATTTGCATAACGGTTGAGGTCCAGCTGACGTCAAGGGCTCCTTGTAGCTCCAGGTCAGATGCAGCCCCGGAAGTAGTTCCTGCAACACAACAGTCCCACAATTGCCCCACCAACCTTGTTTCCTATGTAACACCCAAAGCACCAGGAAGTGAAACAAAACGGCAGAGTCCCGTGCCTCCAACTCACCCTTGTCCCTCTCGCCCTGAAGATTTTACTTCCTCCTCCTCTTCCTTTTCACCTTTCATCTCCTGGCCTTAAGGGCTCCCAGAATGGAAAGAGCTTAAGCAACATTATATACAGGTAAGGTGAACTCACCTACCCTACACCCTCCAATTTCCTTTCTCCATTTGTGTCCACTCTATGTAGGTGGGTGGCAAACCATTTCCCACCAAAACTTAGATAACCTCTCTAGTGCTGGAAATATGTTTCATCCAAAGGATGGATTTACCAAAGAGTCATAATATGTGAACCAGAAGTTTCATTGTGCAGTTTTGAATGGTTTTGAGGGAAGGGAGACCCCCTTCAAAGGCAAGTTTCTCAGAGGAAAAGGGCCAACCTCTTGGGGAGGCTTTGTGAGCCAGCTGTGTGGTCACCCATGGCCTCATACTGACGTCCAAATTGTTCTGGGACCCTCCACTGGGGTCAGGGCAGTCCCAGTTTTGGACCACCCTCCACTCCCACACCCAAGCTCACACTCAGCTGTTCCACTGCATGTTGCATCAGGGAGGGTGATGAAATCAGTGTTAGAGGATTTTACCCAGGGGTGCAACAGGCTGAAGGACCGACCTGAGCCACTGACACTGTGTGTGTTCACCTACCCAGAACAACTATCCTTCCTAGACATAGGGTAGGGGCTAGGTGCTGGAATGTCTGAGTTGGACTCCTAGCCCCTGCTTTCACTGGAGCCCCCAGAGAATAAGACACCTTGCACCTACCACTAGGGTTAAGGAATTAGGTGGTTCTTGGCAACAACTGTGTCTGCAATAGTGCTTTTAACTAATGCAGTGAGGCCTGAAGTGGGGGAGTAATTATACCTCATAAAGCACTTGTATACCTTCCCACTTCACAAGGTGCCTTTGAGTCCATCCTGTCCTATGAAACCAGGATACAATTCCACAAAAAGAATACCCTTCCCAATGGAGACAAAGCAACCCTTTATTCTGAGATCTTTTCCGCTGGGTGGTACAAAACGTTTGTACTTGACTACTAACCAAAATGGCGATTCAAACCCACCCAGCAGTACTGTGGAAGAGAGGACTGACAATCTGTTTCCATAAAGATGGTTATGAAGTGTCATCAAGTTGGTTCTGACTCATAGTGGCCCTGTATAGGGTTTCTGAGGAGCAACTGGTGAGCTTGAACCGCTGACCTTGCGATTCAAACTGACACCAGGGCTCCATGAAGATTCCAGCCAAGAAAACACTGTGCAGTAGTTATACTCTGTAATACATGGGTTGCTAGGAGTCAGAATGGTCTTGATGGTTTGGGGTTATTGATTTTTTTAAGAATTTTATTCTGGGATAGGGGGCATCAGGTGGGAACCAAATGTCATTCTGAACTGAGCTTGTCATCCTTTTGGGAGGTGAATGAATGCTGTTTTTTCCTCAGAGGGAAGGTGAGAAAATAAGATTTTTTTTCATATGGGGTATAGCTTTTTGTGAGGCAAAAAATCAGGGAAAGGTTAAATGGAAAGAACTTGGGACCAGATTAATTTAAATATTTGACACTCCTCCCCCCACCCCTTCTACAACATTCTGATTCCTGGAGAGCATTACACATATGTCCTATCCCAGGCCTCCAGCCACAACAACCAAACGACTCATTTCCCCTGGAACTGAGGTTGCATACCTGGGCTCCCCACAAAGAGGGAGGATGATGCAGGGAGGGGAATCCCACCTGCTTGTGAGTCACCTGCTAGTATAGAGGGCGGGTCATACAATGCAGGGACCTTAAAAAGAGACCCAGAGACACGAAGAGAAAGTAACAGGAAGCAGCTCAGAAACAACAGCAGTAACCAAACAAAAGACGCACAGGACAGAGAGAATCAGGCTCAGACAGGGAAGTAGAGAGATTCCACGAGGACTGGTGTCAGGCACAGATTTGAGAAGCAGGCCCCAAGATGCTGCTAGTGACTGGAGCTGTGCTGCTGCTGCTGTTGCTGCCTTGGGCTGCCCAGGGCCAGGCCAGGCCTGGGAGCAGCAGCCTTGCCTGGGCTCAGGGCCAGCAGCTCTCCCAGAAGCTCTGCACGCTGGCCTGGAGAACACATCTACCAATGGCACACATGGTGAGTGGCAGCCATGGGGACCATATAGGAGCCTCTCCAAGTCTTCCAAAGCTGCCATGGGAGACTCTGAGGCCTTGAGTGGAAGCTGGCGGGTTCAAGGCCATCAAGGAGCAAAAGGAGGCAAGAGTGTGGGATTCCTGGGAGGGTCATGAACCTGAGGGGCCAGGTGTGGTTTAAAATATTTTCTTTTTCCACTCCCTTCTCTATTTCAGGATGTCCCAAGAGAAGAGGGAGATGATGAGACTACAAACAGTGTACCCCATATCCAGTGTGGGGATGGCTGTGATCCCCAAGGACTCAAAGATAATAGTCAGGTAACATTAAGATGAGGCTTTCTACTCCCGTAAAGATTTACACCCTCGGAAACCCTGTACAGGGTCGCTATGGGTCGGACCCGACTCGATGGCACTTAACAACAACAACAACAAACATTAAGATGGGGCTGGACCACAAGGAAGAGGTGACCAGGGACATGACTGGGCACCACAGTGAACGAGTAGAAGTTGTGACTGAAAATGGTAAAGGAGAATTGGGTGGGTCTTCAGTTGTTGCTAAATGCTGTCGAGTCAGTTCCACTCATAGTGACCCTGTATGGAGTTTACAAGGAGCAGCTGGTGAGTTTGAACCACCCACCTTGCTGTTCAAGCTGACCTTGCTGTTCAGCACATTAACCCAAGCACCAAACCAGTTAATGAAATAGGAAGAGGATATTCACCTTCTTTTACTTCTCTCTCTAGTTATGCTTGAAAAGGATACACCAGGGCCTGATTTTTTATGAGAAACTGCTGGGCTCAGACATTTTCACAGGGGAGCCTTCTCTGCTCCCAGATAGCCAACTTCATGCCTCCCTCCTAGTCCTCAGCCATCTCCTGCAGGTATGAACTGGGGGCCTGGAGGATGGGTGCTTGCAGGTGTGAGAGATAAAGAGGCTGGGTGGCTAAGGATCTAGAGTCCTCTTTAACTGTGTCCTGTATCCTTTCAGCCTGAGGGTCACCATTGGGAGACTCAGCTGACACCAAGCCTCAGTCCTACCCTGCCTTGGCAGCGCCACCTTCTGCGCCTCAAGATTCTTCGTAACCTCCAAGCCTTTGTGGCTGTAGCTGCCCGGGTCTTTGCCCATGGAGCAGCAACTCTGAGCTCTTGAAACCAACAGCTTAAGAATGGCCTCCAGGTCTCCAAGGTTTAGCAATGACATTATCAATCTATTACCCCAGCAACCTGTGAGCCAATAATCAGTCCATTCTCATAGGACTTGCTTATGTTGAAGAATTACCACTACAGACTGACTTGTAATGCTGACCTATGACAAAGTTGAGTATTTATTAGATAAGAGGAAACATTTGAGATTATTTATCTTCATTGGAAGAGGAGTATTTATTATATTTATACTGAATTATGTACTTTTTCAATAAAGATTTATTTATGTGGATGTTTGGATCTAATTTCTGGGCTTGGTTGGGAGAAAGAAATGAATAGAAAAGTGAGGTCTAAGAACTACAATATGTTTCACCTCTTTCTGCTACTTTGAAGGGTAGTGGTGGAGTGATATTTTCTCCTGAATCTTTGTATGATACCTGTGATCCTTCTGGTATTAATCCCTGAATGGCTGAATAAACAGAATGGAATTACAGGAGGCAGAGATTAGAAAGTGGGGTCCCTGGATGTGGCTTCTCATTTGATCCCTGATTCAGTGCCTCCTATACTTTCTGGCCAAAGGCAGACTTGATCACTGCAGGAACATAAGTCTGAGCTCTGTCTTGACCAAGAAGGAAATTTCAGGAAGATGATGAAGGTAAATGCCCCAAGCCAATAGGATTCTCCCTTAGAGAAGGGCATCTGCAGTCCCCTTCAGAAGGGAGTTGGGCTACCCAAGATGCTATCCAACTGCCTTTGAAAGAAATTGGAGAGGAAATGATTATTTCCTTTCCTTTTGGTCCATAGTCACAGTATGGAAAGGAGATGGGCTTGAGAGTCAAGCAGAATCAGGTTTGTGTATTGGCTTTGCCACCAACCTTATGAATGGCACAGGGCTAATTATATAAATATTTGTGCTCCTCCCAACACATATATAGCTCAAAGTCCCCAAAGAGTCTAATGGACAGGACAGGATGTCCTAAGCAGGGACAGGGAGAACAAAGAAACATGACAACAGGTGCATGCTGGAATGGGTGAAACAGAGGCCATAAAATATGCCGACTTTGTCCCTACATGGCCATGACTCAAAGGTCTTTGTGAACAGAGAAATACAGGAGTTCAAAGATGAAATGCTTCAGGTCAGTACAAAGTTTATTGGTCACTTCTCTTGGAGCCCTTTCTGAACAGGACTGTTTCTGACACACTAGGCAAGAAACAGGCACATGCACAGGGCCTCATTTTCATGTACATCTCAAGTTAACACCAGCAGCACATCTTTGATGATGGTGGTCGTCTCCTGAGGTTCCCTGGCCCGGCAAGTGTGACGTTGGCCAGAGTCCCATGATAAACCTTTAAAAGTTTAATTGCCAAAAACTTGGTCTTTGCCTAGGTCCACACCCAAGGAAGAGATACCCTCCTCTGAGGTAAACACTACACTGTACAAAAGAAAGGGATGCTACCTTAATAAGGAAATAGCTAAGACTCAGGACCTCTCTTCCTCTGTAAAAATTCCAAACTATATCTAATACTATAAAAAGCAACTCCAAATTCCCGGGAAGCAACCCTACAATCCCTGGCCTTCAGGAATGATCTGTCTCTTAAGTAAAGGGGAAGTGAACACTAAGTGCGGTATAGTGAATTATTTAATGTCTCTTCTAACCATAGTCTCCATAAACTCCCACCAAACAACTGTATCCTGATGGGTCAGGGGAAGAGAAAGTAGGGGAGGCTGTTGATGGATTATATGATTCAGTTGTGAGTGACTTGAAAACTTGAAACTCTAACGTGTGTATAAAACGAACCATCTCAGAAGCAGGAGTGGGGATATTACTACCATCAAAGAAGACCCAACATTGAACCTCCTCGATCTAGGGACAGAAAGCTGTGGCATCAGACGAGTGGCTGAGGAGCTGCAGCAGCAGAACCCAGAACCCAGAACCAGAGCACAAGACAGAGCCATGGGCTTCTGAGCCCACAGAGCAACTAAAATTGACTTTGGACAGGAGGCTTGCTTGCAGAGTGGGGTGCCTGGAGGCACTTAATTGGGGGACTAGATTCGTTGCCCCACAAAGCTAGAGCTGAGTGCCTTCAAGCTGAAGTTTATGGTGGAATGATGTGCCCTGAGCATTTTTTGATCCTGCATTGTAACCTGCTAACTTCCCTAATAAACCCCATAACTGAGTATGCTGTCTGAGTTCTGTGTGATCATTGCAAGGAATTAGCAAACCCAGTTGAGATGTAGAATATGCAGTAAAAGGGAGGTTTGGTAATTTTTTTTTTTTGTACTAGGCAATATAAGTTAGTGTGCAAAACTTCACAAGCACACCATCAGTTTAAGGGAGGGATTGGGTGCAGCTCGCTTGGGTGGGGAATTGGGGCAGCAGAGGAAACTGGCAAGAAAATAAAGTCTACCTCCTATTCCCTTCTTCAGGATGGAGGTTCATATTATGGGGTGAGGCTGAAAACTCTCAACCCCCAAGGGAAAAGAAGACATTTAGTACTCGAGTCAGGAGTAAAGGGAAGAGAGGAAAAGGTTATCCTAGACATGAAACAGCTACAAGAGAGAAATGGAGTGCTATTATGTGCCCTCCCCACACACACACTGATGGTATGCAATGCCAGTGTACACCCATTTTGCTTTAAACCAAACCAAACCAAACCCATGGCCACCGAGTTGATTCCGACTCACAGTGACCCTAAAGGACAGGGTAGAACTGCCCCATAGGGTTTCCAAGGCTGGAATCTTTATGAAAGCAGACTGCCACATCTTTCTCCTGCAGAACAGCTGGTATTCTGGAACCACTGACCTTTTTGGCTAGCGGCTGAGCATTTGCTCACTGTGCCACCAGGCCTCATAATTTTGCTTTATCTGAGACTGAAGTCCTTTCATACTAGAAAACAGCCACTTCCCTAAGCCACCCTTTAAGTAACCTCACTCCAACTGTCCTGGCTCATCCTTGCCCCACTCCACCCCACCCCTTCAGCATAGTAATCAGCCTCCAGGATCCTGTTTAGAGCTATGAAATACAGCCAGCATTCTGACCGATTGGTACCCTTCCATACCCATGTCATGTTTTCACCTCTCACCCAAAATCCCAGGTCTTCCCAGTTTAGAAGGGGGACATGCCTGATTTCCCATTATTAAAGAGGAACATCATGATGTGGGGGGTACAAGGCAGAAGAAATAAGAAAAAACAAAACAAATGAAATGTAGTTCTAGTAGTCAGAAGGACTCCACCGTCCATCGGTGTGGAAATGGCTGTGGCAGGTGGCGTAAAAGTCATCCATGGTATCCGTGGTGTTTGGGGCAGACAATGGTGGGTCACCATTTAGCATGATTTCTTCAATCTTCATAGGATTGTTTCTGAAGACTAAGTGGTCCAGACAGAGAGAAATCAAGTCCTGGTCTCAGACAAGAAGTTACCAACCCAGGAGGGAAAGTGAGGGGGGATGGATGAACACCCAAGACAGGGACTAGGGGGACATATAAAGGATGGAGGAATAAGGGTGCATGAAGGGAAGGAAGCTTATGTCTTTCCTTCTGAAAGGAATCATCAGAAAATGAGCCTCTCTCCAACGGAGAGATTGGAGCACAGCCCTTTCTGAGAGGAGGTGGGACTTGGGGAAGGGATGGGTCCCCTCTTCCCTAGTCTCATGCCATGACTTACTTTCCATTCCTTCTGTGTCCAAGTGTCTCAGATCTTGGGGCAAATCTGCCTCTGGCTCTGGCTGTGATACAGGCTCTAGAAGGAACTCCAATTCTGCTTCCAGCTTTGGCTCTGGCATTTGTTGTGGTACCATGGGTAGTGTGGGCTCCACCGTAGGCTGCAGCACAGACTCCAGCACTGGCCCCAGATCCAGTCCTGCATCCAGCAGGGATCCTAACTCTAGGCTTACTGGTGATTCCTGCTGTGGTAACAGCCCCAGGTCTAATGAATCCTGTTCTTGCTCCACCTTAAGCTCCAGTGGTTGTTGTAGCTCATCCACCTGTCTGGATACCCCAAGACAGAAAAAACGGCAGGGCTTAGTGGTTTAGGTGAAGTGGGGAATGGTAGCGCAAGCAGAGGTGCCTCTAGTCTAAGCAGTCAGTGGAATAGAGGGCTCAAGAGCTCATGAACAATGAAGGAATGTCTGAGAGTTAGAATCCTATCATTTTTAGCTGGGTGATTGAGGCAAGTGACCTAACTTCTCTGAGCCTCAGATTTTTCATCTGTAAGACAGGAACAACAATACTTAGTGATATTTGAGATGCAGTATAGGATGGTGAAAAGCAGGGCTGTGGAGTCCACCGGACCATCATTTATTTATTAGCCATGTGCCTTCGGTACAACATGTCACCACTCTAAACCTCAGTGTCTGCAGCTGAAAACACAATAACCATGTCTACTCCACAGGACTATTGTGAAAATTCGATAAATGAGAAAATGAACAACAAACATAATGAACTTTTAATAAATGTGCTTGTTGTGATTATCATCATTATTCTGATGGGCTATCATAAGGATTAAATGAAAAAAACATTTTATTTAAGCCTAGTACCATGTTTGGGGAGTACTGGTGTGGTACTGTAGGCTAATCACAGGACCACAAGGTCATTTGAACTATAAGATAGGCAGTTCAAACTCACCAGCTGCTCCTCAGAAACCCTATACAGGATCCCTGTGAGTCGGAACCAGCTTGATGGCATTTAACAACAACAACTATGCTTGGCATCAAGTAGGTACCCAGTGACATCAGTGGTAGGAAAATATGAGGAAGAAGAAAGACTAGAAAACTAGGGAGAAAAATTTGAGGGCCGGAGAGTCTGGGTAAGTAGAAAGAGAGGATTGGAAGAAGTGGAATTCAGCAGGTTAGAGTCATTCTATCAGCCAAAAAGGCTTAGGAAAATGGGAAAGATGTTCATGTCTCACCTGTTGGAGACCACAATGAGCCTATGTTTCAGGTATTTCCTCCGTTCCTGGAGATTAACTGTGAAGGACAAACACAGAAGGGTCAGGAAATCAGTGGGTTGTACACGTAACTCCAGGCCCAAGAGATGGTCCCGGAAATAATTTCTCCCTTTTAACTATAAGGGTTGCATGGACAAATCTCTTAACTTTTCTGCACACTGGTTTCCCCGTCATTGCAAGGACTTGGATTTGTGGGCACTTCAGGATTCCTGAAATCTACAGTGAAGCGTGTCAATGATTCCTACCTTTCTCTTGGTAGTAGCGCCCAAAAGCCTCATCCCGAGGGATTTGGGGGTACAGGAAACGCAGTGGGTTCTCAGGTATGTTCTCCTCAGTGAGTAGCTGGTAGTGGCGGATAATTTCAGTCAGTGGGAGTGACTGCAGCATCTCCTTGGTGTAGGGCTGCACAGAGTAGATCAGCACCTTATCTGCAAAGTAGGGATAGGGAGGCTAGAGTGAGGCTGGGTCTGGGAACTCCCCACCCTGCTGCCCAACCCCAAACCTGCTGAGACATGCAGGACAGGACCAGGGAAGCTAAGGGCAGGCAGAGGGACAAGAAATGAACCAGGAAGAAGGAAGAGGCTGTGGGAATGGCAGGGCAGGGCAGCTGCAAATCTGACCATCGTCCTGGTGCTCCACCCAGGAGCAGGTGATGCCCCCTTCTGACGTTTCACTGAAGCGCAATAGGAAGGTGCCAGACATTTTCTTCTTCAGCAATCTGCGCTCCTGCTTCCGGCTCACAAAGCCCATGATGCAGCTGGAGCACAGAGAGCAGTTGTGAGGACTTCTCTCTATCCCTGGCTCCCTTTGAAGAGGGCAAGAGCACCAGATATTGGCCCTGGTTCTGCCACTCGTGAACAGTTTCATCTTGACCAAATCATGTCACTTTTCAGACAATATTTACCTTCCAGGTTTCAAAGAAGCGTGAAGCCTCTGTGAAATTATGTAGCTGAAAAGCACCTTGTTAAAGTCTATACAGATTTGAATTCTATACAGATCTGCAGGCATTGTGGTGGAAAGAACACAGGCCAGAAATCAGACAGGCCTGGGTTCAAATCCCAACTCTGCCCCTTGGGTGAGATCTTTAACTTCTCTCAGCCTAGATTTCCTCACTTACTAAAGAGGGAGGTCATAAGGATTAAATGAGAGCATTCTTGGAGAGCACCAGTAGGCTCTGGAAGACAGCAGGTAGTTGACAAATGTTGGCTACGCCCACTGACTATGATTATTCCAAATGTGAGGGAGGGCAACCTTGTACAGTTTTTTCTCTTCTTGTTTGCCACATGAGCGTGCATGGCGTCCTATAAGCCCAGAAAGGCAGTTAGGCTGGCTGCGGAGGGTTGACCAAGGCCTTACCCATCTTTCCAGAGATCCTTCAAATGGTCATGCACTAGGTCCAAAATTTTGTCAAGCCACGTCCAAAATGGTAGCTTGCCAGGGGGACTTTCTCGCTGAAGGAGGAAGGGCAAGACAGAAAGAGATGTGGAATTATCCCTGGCATGGGAAAGAAATGATTGGAGAAGGAGTCAGTATTGGAGTTGAAGATGTTACCTTAGAGAAGTTGGCCCAGGACAATACACTTTCTGTCTCAGAGTTCTGCCCTGTAGGAGAGATAACCACAGATGGTTCAGATGATAGGAGGCAAGGCCAGGAGTCCTGGATTAGATAGTAGTCAGAGGACAGTGCAGACTAGGGCTGGGGAGGGATTGAGCGAAAAGGAGGTCTGTACCAAACAACTTGGTCTTTAGCATGTTCAGATGTTCTGGGTTGAGGCCTTGGCCAGTGTAGGAGGAAAACTGCCAACTAAGAGCAGGGCCCAGCAGGCTCCAGGGGGCCATGGGGGGACTGGAGAAGAACTGTTGGTTCTGCAGGTGTGGGAGGAGGACAGGATGACTCAGTAGTCCCCTCACACCAAACTTCCAACTCCTTCCTCCCCACCTTTCCCTGGTGGCAGTCTCTTCCCAATCTCTTCCTACCTGGGGGTTTTTGCTGAGCAAATTGAACCAAAGAACCGAGGCCCAGGCAATGGAGAGTTGGTTCATGTTAGAAATAATTACCACAGGGAGGGTGTCCGCCTGGGGAAAAGTCATAGGAAGAAAGAGCTAATGTTTCCAGCTGCAGTGATTTTGTTGTTTCCAGCTGCAGTGATTTTGTTGAAGGGGCAAGTAGTACTTGCTCCCCACAGAGCAAGGCTTCTATTCATTCCCGTCTGTGCCTTCTCCCAAATCTGCTTCATCTCCTTTTGCCCTCCTGTCTCACTTACTCTCAGCTCCTGCTTCAGACCCTGGTAGGTGTATTGGACTACGAAGCTGATGATATGCAGTTCCTCTGTTACACTCAGAAGACCCTGAGACAGCCAAGGACACAGTGAACAAAGGACCTTTTGGCAAGACTCTCCTACCCCCAAATCCTCTGACCAGATCTCACCTTATTGCTGCCCTTTCCAGAACCACCTGAACGTTGCTCCACCAGACTCTATGAATTGAAAGGGAAAGACAGTAACAAAGAGGGGGCTCTGGGGTCCTGTTTTGCCTTCAAGACCTCCCCACCCTTTATTTTCTATCTTTAAGTTACTGACTATTCTTACCAAGAATCCAAAGTCCCAAATTAAGCCCTGCCTCTGCCCCTTCTCGGGAGTGAGAGTTTTCTGGTTTGAAGTCAGAATGTTGAACTTTCGGAAGCTGTTCCAGGAGCAAGAAGATATATGGAGGAAAGGGGCAGAGTTATACTAAAGACTCAGTAGGAAAACAAGAGTGCCACTTGATTTCAGACCTCCTTGTCTCCCTTGGTCCACACCTAACCCAAAATCCCCCCTGCTCCACACTGTGTTCCCTACGGGGCTGCCGTATGTGCTTGTGCAGGTCACCAGTCCGCAGCTGCTTCTAGTGTCCATGCCAGGCACCTACCCTTGTATTTGAGGAGAATTCCTGAAACAAAATTAAAATCAAAATAAATCATTGGGAAACAAAACTCTGTAGAGGCTAGGAATTTGCTCTTTGGGATCAAACAGACCTGTGTTCAAACCCAACTCTGTAGCTCACTAGTTATGTGGCCTTGGGCAAGACACATAATCTCTCTGAGTTTGTTTCCATATTTGCATGGTGTACTGATAACACCTAACAAATCGGGTTGTTGTGACAAGTAAATGAGTACTTGACATGCTGCATGTCACCTAGTAAGTGTTCAACAAGAGGGATGAGTTATTATTTCTATGAGGTGGGGATGTAAGATAAAAGGAGAGGGTCCCAGAGTCCTGCTATGAAGAGTGGGAACTTTCTTTACCTCATCATCACCCCTTGGTCAGACCATTCCTTGGTTCCACCCTTCACCTGCCCTGACTTACCTGTCAATGGAGACTTCCACAGTCAGCGATTCATTCCCTTCCTGGAGTCTCACCAGCAGCCTGGAGGGAAGGGAGGTAGATAGAGGAGAGTGGTCAACCTCAATCTCCTAGACAGGTCACATGTTTGAAAAAATAAGAGAAGGGATTTGAGGAAGTAGGTGGAGAGGGGAGAAAACCGAGAAGAAAAAGCCAAAAATAGGAAAGTCTGTGGAGGCAGAAAACACAGTGCCTAGAGTTGAAAGAGAAAAGCAGGAATGAGTTCTGGAATGCCAACCTTGTTCGGACACTGAACTTGTTCCCAGTCTTAAGGATGAGGGGCCGATGGGGAGTTTGGGCCATGCAGGGCTGAATTTCGACCACAAAGGCACTGGAGAAAGAGATGTACAAAGAATGAAGAGCTTAGTATCTGCGAGAATGGCTTCTCTTGTCCCAGCCCTCTGTTCCTCCCCGAAGTTCTCTCCCTAGTTCAAGACCTTTGGAGTAGACGCTGCAGCAATTCCATGACTTGGGCTTCCTGCAAGTCCACTCCTTTTGGCAGAGGGTCCTCGGCATAGCTAACCATGTGACTCAATTCCTTCAACTCCTTCAATTGCTGCCGCAAATGAAACAACAGCTTTGCTCCATCTGTGAACCTGGATGAGACAGTCCAAAAGATAGAGGATTGGTGAGCTTCCTGGTATTGGAGCCAGACCCCAAAAGCTCTCTTGTAACCATGTGGAAAAAGTCAGAAACTGATTGCAAAGAAAGAATCCAGGAAGCATATGAAAGATTGTTCAGCATGATTCATAATCCATGAAATAAACATCAAAGCCCATTTTCATATATAAAACAAGTAAAAGATTAACATAAAGCTAATGAAGTTTGCTACGTATTATTTGGAGCCCTGGTGTGACACTGTGGGTTAATTCACTGGACTGCAAAATCAGTGTGATCTGCAAGTTTGGCAGTTCAAACTCACTAGCCACTCCTTGGAAACGCTATGCAGGGTTGCTATGGGTTGGAACCAATTTGACAGCACTTAACAACAACAATAATGTATTATTTGGAGTTCTGGTGTGGCGCTGTAAGATAAGCACAGAACTCAACCTCACACAGAAGTTAAGCAACTATAAGAAATGATGAAGTAAAAGGGTTGAACAGAAAGAAAATTTCAACAGGAAGCTCAAGAAGACAAAGTAAAGTATTATAATAAATTGTACAAAGACCTGGAGTTGGAAAACCAAAAGGGAAGAACATGCTCAGCATTTCTCAAGCTAAAGAATTGAAGAAAAAATTTCAAGCCTCAATTTGCAATATTGAAGGATTCTGTGAGCAAAATATTGAATAGTGCATTAAAAGAAGATGGAAGGAATATACAGAGTCAGTCAGCGTACCAAAAAGAATTGGTTGATGTTCAACCATTTCAAGAGGTAACATATGCTCAAGAATCAATGGTGCTGAAAGAAAAAAATCCAAGCTGCACTGAAGGAACTGGTGAAAAACAAGACCTCAGGAATTAACAGACTGCAAATAGAAATGTTTCAACAATTGATGCAGTGCTGGAAATTAAGACTCATTTATACCAAGAAATTTGGAAGATAGCTACCTGGTCAACCTACTGGAAGAGATCTACATTTGTACCCACATTCCAAAGAAAGGTGACCCAAGCAATGCAGGAATTATCAAACAATGTTATTAATATCACATGGAAGTAAAATTTTACTGAAGATAATTAAAAAATGGTTGAAGCAGTACATTGACAGGATTTTTGCTCTTAAGGATTGTTGAGTTGGTTCCAATTCATAGCAACCCTGTATAAGCTGCTAGAAATTCCACCTGGATTCAGAAAACACAAGATGGACCTTGGCTTAAAAAGAAGAATACCAGAAAGATGTTTACTCGTGCTTTATTGACTATGCAAAGACATTTGACTGAGTGGACCATAACAAACTATGGATTACATTGAGAAGAATAGGAATCCCAGAACACTTAGTTTTGCTCATGAGAAACCTCTACCTAGACCAAGAGGCAGTCCTACAAATAGAACAAGGGGATACAGAATGATTTAAAACCAGGAAATGTATGTCACGGTTGTATCCTTTCATCATACTTATTCAATCTTTATGCTGTGCAACTAATCTGAGAAACTGGGTTATATGAAAATACCATGGTATCAGGATTAGAGGAAGACTCATTAACAAAATGTGATATGCAGATGATACAACCTTGTTTGCTGGAAGCAAAGAGGACTTGAAATAGTTACTGGTGAAGATCAAAGCCTTCAGTATGGATTGAAACTCAATGTAAAGAAAACAAAAATCCTCACAACTGGACCAATAAATAACATCATGATAAATGGAAAAAAGATTGAAGTTGTCAAAGACTTCATTTTGCTTGGCCCCACAATCAATGCTCATTGAAACTGCATTTAAGAAATCAAAAGATGTATTACATTAGGCAAATTTGCTGCAATATAAATCTGGGACATGTATTAAGGAAATCAGGTGTTCTTTAATCAGATTAAACAACAAAGATGGCACTCTGAAGACTAAGATGCAACTGACCCAAGCCATGGTATTTCAATTGCATCACATGCACATGAAAGTTGGATAATGGTTAGGAAGACCATAGAAGAATCAATGCATTTGATTATGGTGTTGGTAAAGAATATTGAAAGTACCATGGACTGCCAAAAGAACAACGAAGAAGAAGAGCCAGAATGTTCCTTAGATGTGAGGCAAGCGAGACTTCATCTCTCGTACACTGGACATGTTCTCAGGAAGGACCAGTCCTTGGATAAGGACATCCTGCTTGGTGGAGGGTCAGCGAAAAAGAGAAAGATCCTCAACAAGATGGACTGACACAATGGCTCAAAGATAAAAATTGAGAGGATGGTACAGGATCAGGTAGTGTTGTACACAGGGTCACTATGAGTTGAAATCAACTTAAAGGCACCTAACAACAGCAGTTTGGCTGCAGACTCCATGCTTTTAATTTTTGTGCCTTACTGACTCTATTAGAGAAACATATAATAGACAATGTGGTGATAGGAACACAAACAGACACTGCATATAAGCAAACAAACTGAGACAACTTTTCTAAGAGGTGGCATGAAACTATTTTCTTTCAAATGCTTCAAATATGTGCTTACATTTGACTGTATTCTAAGACACAGAGTAAGCAAAAAAGTAGTGTTACTAGGGTTCCAGTTCATACATGCATGGGTTTATTCCAAAGAAAACATGTTTAAAATGTCTCTTTGATCAGTGGGATGGCTGTAGCAAGTTCTCTCAGTTAATACACTTGCATTGTTCCAAGGGTGCCTTAAAAAAGTTCCATCAAAACAGTGGCTTCCAAGGGGATTTGCTGGGCCAGTTCAACTCAAGACAGAGAAAACAGCTTAGAAGGCACTATCAACTGTCTTTTGGGACTCCAAAGGGGTAATCTTGATAGATTTTCTCAAAGGACACAGGACAATCATGGGGTCTTATCAGAAATAAGTTTTTAAAAAATTGAAAACTGCATTGGTGAGAAAAGGAGCAGGAAAATTACTTCGAGGAATTTTTTTCCCCATTACAACAACACACCTGTTCATTCATCAATGGTAGCAAGAGCTGTCCTATGAGAATTTCATTGGGAAACCTTACCCTATATGACTGCAGCCCTGATCTTTTCCCTTCAGACTTGGTTTTGTTTCCAAACTCAACATTTACAAGAAATATGATTTGAGTCCCTTGAGATTGCTAAAATTACTTTTTTGATGTGCTGTATATCAAAGAGCATAGAATTCTTGGGAGAAGGGTTAGAGAGTTGGAGACACTGTCTTCAGAAGAGTCTAGCCCTAGATGAAGGATATGTTGAGAAACAATAGCCTCATATTTTGATATTTTTGTTTATAAAAGTTTCTACAATTTTGTAGCAATACTTTTTTATTTATCCTCATATCTCTTAAGCAAATAATCGACAAATGCACAAGGAAGTTCAGAGCTATATAATTTCTACTGGGAAAATCAGAAAGAACTGGTTGCTAGTTATATGAATTATGGAATTTCATGTCATGGAATACTATGTAGCCTTTAAAATAATAATATAGGACAAAATTTATATACATGGAAAAATGTCCAAAAAAATGTCCTAGTGTGACGCTTTGGACTGGTAGGATAAGCACTGGACTGCTAACTACAAGGTCAACAGTTCAAATCCACCAGTTGCTTCTTGTGTAGCTATGAGTTGAAATTGACTTGACAGTACTTAACAATACGTATATATATAAAATCATAAGCACACAAATATGGGGGCTTCAAATGGATTGTGGAAAAACTCCATTATTTTTTAATTCCATTTTTCCACAAACTTTTTGAAGCCTCCTCGTGTGTGTTCATATGTATAGTCTCCTCATGTGTGTGTCTATGTATAGCCTTAAGGTCGGCAGTTCAAATCCACTAGCTGCTCTTTGGGAGAAAGATGAGGCTTTCTACTCCTATTAAGATTTACAGTTGTTCTTCACTAAGGAAGCGATCCAGGCAGCCAACAAACATATGAAGAAATGTTCACGATCACTAGCCATTAGAGAGATGCAAATCAAAACAACAATGAGATATCATCTCACACCAACAATAACAGCAAAGATAAAAAATGTAGAGGACAATAAATGCTGTGGGGATGTGGAGAGACTGGGACACTCCTGCATTGCTGGTGGGACTGCAAAATGGTCCAGCCTCTCTGGAAAGCAATATGACATTTCCTCAGAAGGTTGAAAGTAGAAATACCTTATGATCCAGCGATTCCTCTACTTGGTATTTACCCACAAGAAAAACGAGCCACAACACAAGAAGATATATGCACACCAATGTTCATAGCAGCACTATTTACAATAGCAAAAAGATGGAGACAGCCAAAGTGTCCATCAACTGAAGAATGGATAAACAAACTATGGTACATACACACAACGGAATATTATGCTATCTTGAAGAATAACAAGGAAGCTGCAAGCCACCGCATAACTTGGGTGAGCCTTGAGGACATTATGTTGAGTGAAATTAGTCAGTCACAAAAAGAGAAATACTGCATAGGACCACTACTGTAAAAGACTAAGAAAAAGAACCCATATTAAAGGGGGGTAGAGGGAATTCTTTGTTGATTGCTGGGATATTGAGGGTGGGTGAGGGGAGGAAGGGGAAGGTGCAGCACAGGGCAGAGATTAGACACAGTATAGTTTGGGTGCTGGGGAGGAGAGCAATATACAAGAAGGGAGAGGGGACTAGAAGAACAAAGCAGATGGGAGAACAATTAGACAGGTTTGAATGGGCTAAGTGGGACAGAGGAAATAATGATGTATGCACAATCTTGGAACAACAGGGCTCTGGGATACAGAGATTGAGACATGGTTGGAATGGGGAAAAGGGGAGAATAATAAGATGCTTGGCTGTCTTTTGAATCTTGGTTTTCCTTGCATTATATTATAAAATAGACACTGGAGGGTGAGAGAAAGAAATAGCCAGAACATCACCATAGAAAGCTTGTAAGTCCGTCTTCTGCCTATAACTGTTTAGAATACCTAAAATGGGACTACAATGTGCCCAGTGAAGGAGGCGTCCTGTGGATCCTCTGCAATACGTAAGACTATAGGTAGAAGCCTGAACCACATCCAGAT